TGGTACAATGGCTCAGTGGCTAAATCCTTGTGTTGCAGGTACTGGGATCACAGATAGGTGCCAGTTTGTGTCCTGGCTGTTCCACTTCACATTCAGATCCCCTTGTGAGCCGGTAAAGCAGCAGAGGTTGGCCCAAAGCCTTGGGATCCTGCACCCACATAGGAGATTGAGAAGAAGCTCCTGGTTCCTGACTTCAGAGAAGCTAAGCTCCAACCACTGCAGCCACTTGGGGAGTGAACCAGAAAATGGGAAATCTGTCTCTCCTTCTCTCTGTGCATCTGCCTTTTGAATAAAAAATGAAGTCTTAGAAAAAAAAAAAAGAAAATGCCAAATGGAGCTGTTTCTGTGCCTAAATGATAGTTCAACACATCATAGTCTGACGGTAGATGTTTGAGCCCACATTGGAATCTAGTGTGGTAGGAAGGGTGGGCAGGGAGCAGGTACTTGGCCCGGATTGTCAGCGCCTGCGTGTCTCCTTTAATGAGCCATCCGGTTTCTATACACAAACTCCATCTCAGGCTCTCTTTTTTATAAAGATGGGTTTATTTAGTTGAGAAGCAGAGTGACAGAGGGAGGGGGAGAGAGAGTAACAGAAAGACAGGAACAGAGTCCCCCATCTGCTGGCTCACTCACCCAATGTCTACAACAGCCAGAGTTGAGTCAGGCCGAAGTCTTGAACCAGGAACTCTATCCTGGTCTTCCATATGTGTCACAAGGGACCAAGTGCTTGAGCCGTCACCTGCTGCCTTGCAGAGAGCGCATTAGCAGGGAGCTGGATCGCAAATGCAGGAGGAACTCTATCCCAGACATGCCAATGCGAGACGCAAGTGCCCCAAGCATGAATTTAACCCATTATGTCACAATGCCCACCTCCTTAACTGATTAGAAATCTATGATTGATTGACTGATTTGAAAAAGAATACTCAGATCATTTTTCTAAATATATAATGAGGAAATTTATCACTTCACTCCAAGAAATTGTATGATGTTTTTAATATTTGGCCTTATCGTTACTTATATTTCAGACTTTCAGTCACTCCACAAAAGCTCACACCCACACCAGGAGTTGAGCATTATGAAAATGGCCATAGAGAAGGTGTCTGTGACTTTTAAGATCTTTCTTCCTCTTTATACACTTTATGCTTTGACTCTTTGTAGAATACAGTGAGTCTAATATCTGCCTTATCTATGTCACAAGACTTGATCAGTTTTCAAACGCATCTGAACAGAGCTTCCCAATACCCCCTACCCACTCCAGACTCCACAGCCTCAGTTGAGGTTGCTTGACAGTTTCCCGGAAGCCCACTAGAGGGCGCGCACATTTTTCAATTCCCAAAGAAAGCACCTACGTGGGTCGTACCCCTGAGGTTTGGAAATGATTGTCTCCTTTTCCCACTTTGAATTCAACATGGTGCAAGTGTGGTGAGCTCTCAAGTTCTCATTCCACTAACCCATCTTTACCCCATGCAGTGACTTCTCCTCTGCCATAACAAAGAATGCTTTTGCTCACAAAACCACAACAATTTCGTTTGTTTCCAGCGTTTGTCCTTTTGACATTTTAGAAGAAATAAGATCCAAGTCTGGCGTTGAAAAGAAAGCATTGATTTCTTTAGTCAGAAGAGTTGTCTCTCCTTCCGGGTACCCTAACTGTGGGGCAAATGAGTCTTTGAGCTAAGCGGAGAGGGCGGGAATCCTCCGGGGGCAGATCTTTTATAGCTAACGTCAGTCCGCTTGCTGGGGTTGATTTTGAGGTCTAGCCTTCTCCTGTCACGTTTACATTCTGGATGGACAAGCTGTTGACCTCAGATGCTGAAGAATGCTACCAAACTGTCCCCACTGACCACAATCCAAGAGAAATAGCCAATGATTTCCCCCAATGATTTCTTTGCCTGGTAGATTGCCCTCAAACTTTAGGCCTCATGCTGTATTTGATTCCAAAGTCCCCTTATCTTCAAATACCCATTGTGGGGCTTGCAGGTTGTGCAGTCAGCAGATATGTTCATGAAATAAATTTCTGACAAGTCCTGTAATATTGGATGTGAAGTTGCCTTTACGATGAGTTCCTCTACAAGGAAAATAGGGGAGACAGGAAGCAGGATTTGTCCAGATGAGATGGCACTGCGGTCCCCTTTCCCGGAACCTCAGCCAGCCTTCCCTTTAGGGAAATGAACGTCTTTTGTTTGCTTGCTTCTTGTTGTTGTTTTTTTAAAAGGTGTCAAAAGTCTTCAGAGGCTGCAGCTTTTATGCAAATCAGCTAGTTAGGAAGGGCTCTTGGAGCGTTATTTATGTCTCAGAGGCATTACACATGTGAAAGGTGAAACTGTGAATCCGAATTTCCAGGAGTGGGCGCTCTCGCAACGAGCGCATCCTTGCCATCCGTTATTTTGGGGTCAACCAACTCCCATCTCTGTCAGGTTTTTTTCCAGGCAAGAGACTGCACGATGTTTAGCCGTTGGACCCTAAGCTTTTTCCATCCAGGGGGCACTTCCTAACAGGAACTTCACTGGAGCACTGCGTTTCCCAGCACCTTGGATTCTCAGGGAATACAGGCATCTGTTCCCTCCTAAGCAGGTTCGGCTTTCCATCTTTAAACAGTAATCACATGGCACGTTTATTGCCCCTGCCTTTCGTGTTGCCCCCCTGGAATTAGCCAAGAAGACGGCCATTTCTCCAGGAATGACCACCCTGCTTTGTGGCTGGCTCCCCTCTGCAGAAACACAAACCCTCCTCCAAATTGAAATCTGCATTAATCACCTCAAAAAAATGACTTCCTCTATTGGAAACAGCACACAACGCCATGCTTCCACAGCACAGCTGATGACAGTGACCACCCACTGGCATTTCAGTTTTCTGTGATTGTGACAAAAACTGGAACATATATTGAAACCCAATGATCTTTTAGGGTAACTGGAGTAATATAAAGCCAAGAAAGTGTGTGGGGTGGGCCAGTGCTGCTGGTGTCATGGGATGGCAGGTGTTCTGTCCCCCCAAACAGCCCTTCTCACAAATGAGTCCAAGAATAAGCTCATCTGTGCCCAGTGAGAGCACACCAGCCAGGTGGTGAGCTCAGAGACATGCCATGGTGGGGCCAAGTGCTGGTCTGTCTGTCCCTAGGAAGGTACCCAGTGGGAAACAAAGGACTCAGAGCCAAGGTTCTACCAGTCCCCGACTCCCCAAACCTGGAAAGCAAAGTTCTTTCTCCCCTAAGAGACAAATGGGATGAGCTGTTTGCTTTTGTGCACGGTGTCATCAAAGCTCCTTCAGAAAAGGGCCTTGCTTTTTGCAGAGGGCATGATCTATAAAAGCTGCAAGCAAGAAGGATTTGGGCTCAGTCAAGTCGCAAATCAAGCATGCAATGGGAGTTTGTTCAAAGAATCCTTGATTATTATTTAATGCAGAGGTTACTCACATACCTCCATATGCCCAGACGGCCATCTGTTGGTGATGGGATTTTAAAGACTCTTCCACTCACCACTGACATGTCACAACTTTGTGCCACAAACTTCTTGTAACATAATCCCTCCTTCCCTATCCTGGATTTTCAAAAAGCCTGACTTTCCAGTTCTCAGACTACCTGCTACTCCCTCCTTCTGTGTACCCTTCCTAGACTGAAACGGCCACGCACTCACCACATGACAATTAACTTTTCCTCTGCCACTCAGGTGAAAGGCCAAGGAGTCCGGACCACGTTTGCCCCTGTTTCGTTCCTCTGAAGCCCATGGATGAGGTGGCACAGTTCCAGACCTCTGACCTGTATTTCTGAGAGGGGAACATTGCTATAAGGTATTAACCATGCAGAAAACATCACCAAACCCAACCCTCCATAAGACCCAAGAAGTTCTCCTTTGAAAGCATCGCCTCCACCCATGAGCTTCTGCCAGCCGGGAACAACAGAAACAGCGAATGTGCCAGAATTGTCAAGTGCCCTTTCAGCGACGAGCAAGACACAAGATCCAGGGAGTCCCACCACCTGTGTGAAACTGTGCCTAGGGAGACACCCAGGGAGAGGGCTATGCCTGATCTGGGCTTTTGCAACCCTATTTCATAATCCACTTTCTTATCAACTGCTTCACAAAACCAAAGAGAAATAGGTACAAATTGTATCGACTAAAGATCAGAACTCGATTCTCCCTGACCAAGGCAATATACATCAGAAACAGCAGAACAGCTGTCTTGGAAGATGCTGCTAGCCACTCACCCGGAAGGGGGATTTGAATGACATCATAACTCCTGAGAGGGCAAAGCTAGCCAGCTTCTCTTGTTTACAATTGGAGAAAGAACACACATAAACACATAGCACATACATACAGAAAAAAATTGAATATTAGCTTTGTCTTCCAATGCCACCGCCTCCCCCCAAAGTTTTAAAGGTACAAAAATGAAGAAACAATTTAAAAAAGAAAAAAAGTTCACTTCACAGCTCAGCATAATCTTTGCTTCATCATGGGCAAAAAGCATGGCCAGTGTCCTGCAGGAAGCCAATCCAATGCCAGCTGCTCTCTGTATAAGTGGGTTCTAGGAAGTGAGACCAGTTCCCTTACCTGGCACCTCTAACAGGGGGTCCCTTGACCTCTGTTTTCCAATCGAGTTGACCCTGGTCATTTCAGGTTATAATTGTAGCACTTGCTAGAGGTGGTTTTTTTCTTCCTTACTTACTTCTATTGAAAAAAAAAATTGCCCTAAGATTAAAAAAAAAATTGTAAATTGTTCACCCATCCCCCACTTAAAATTTTTCTAATACTGGTAAGCTGTGTTAGCAGACATGGGTGTCTCAGTGCCCAGCATAAAGTTGTTCAGAAAGCAGACCCTTATTTTCTATGGCAGACTAAGTGTTTTCATGCCTGCTAACCCTGTCACTAACACACATTCTTTTAAGGGAAAAAAAATTCTTCAGTGCTCTAGTTTTAAAATGCAAAGGTATGATGTTATTTGTCACCATACCCAAAAAAGTCCTTACTAGAGAACTTTGCCAGAAGAGGGAGAGAGAGCGAAGGCAAATGTTCTCCCAGCTGTTTCCTGTCTACAGTGTCTGTGTTTTGTAGATAAATGTGAGGATTTTCTCTAAATCCCTCTTCTGTTTGCTAAATCTCACTGTCACTGCTAAATTCAGAGCAGATAGAGCCTGCGCAATGGAATAAAGTCCTCAAAATTGAAATGTGACATTGCTCTCAACATCTCCCATCTCTCTGGATTGCGCTTTGCCTCATTATTCCTGCTAACCAATTCATTTCCAGACTTTACTCTTCAGAAGCCATGGGAAAAATCAGCAGTCTTCCAACTCAATTATTTAAGTGCTGCTTTTGTGATTTCTTGAAGGTAAATATTTTTTTTTTACTCTTTGAAGTCATTGGGGGAATTTAAATTGTGTCCTGTTTTTCTTCTGCCTAGAGCGGGTCTTCACTTTAAATTTTTCATTGTTTCGGAACTGAGAGTTATTTATAAAATGCTGAATGTGCAATTTCATGGGATCAGAAGAGACAGCTCGGAGAGATGGATGCATTCACACAGATCTCTATGAGTAGAAACTGTTGTAAGGTACTTATGTGAAATCCTCCACTTGCTCAGGGCTCCGGTGGTGTTACTGTAGAAGATTCCTTTAAATCTCATCAATGGCTAAGGGTCACAGAATGTGCATAGCAACTTTGGGATCTCCCCCGACCCCCCCCAACCCCCTGTCTCTCTCTTTTTTTCTTTTGCAGGTGAAGATGTTTTATTTTTAAGATCTTACTGGGATGTGTGTGTGTGTGTGTGTGAGAGAGAGAGAGAGAGAGAGAGTACTTGTCAGGACTTTATTTTACAAGACATGCCTCATGTAAAGCATTATATTTCAGATGATATTAAAGCTTTTAAATATAATCTTTAGAACTAAGGTCTTGGAACTCTGTGCACTTAGTGCCAGGAGAGTCTAACTTACAGTGAAGTTTAATTTGCTCTTGTGAAAAAGAAATCCTTGACAACTCTTGCTGACCTTGCATATTCGTACAATCTAAACAAATGCATACTGTGTGTGGGAAGCAGACGCTTTTGTAGCAGCCGCTTGTCCAGCTTTTTTTTTTCCCCCGGGAGTGGACTTTTCATGGGCAAAGTTTGGACTGAGGGTTTGTGTGTTGCAAACGTCTGATTTTATCTGCATTGCCAAGTCTCTGTAGGTAAATCTGGCTGCCGTTTTCAGTGCACTAACTTCTCGTTTCCGATCACTGGCCCTCGTTCAAGTTTCCATTCTCAGCAAAATTCTATCCTTCACGACTCGTGTTTTTCCAATTTGCAAGCACTTTAAAGTCGCTGTCACAGACTCCTCCGAAGCGACTGCTGAGGGCTCAATTCATAAAACGTCCCAGCCACTTAGTGCAGCATTCATTCGCTGCTCTCACAAACAGCGCTCGGATCTTAGCACAGAGAGTAGCTTGGGAGTTGAGGATACACCGTTGTCAGGCACCTGACTCTGCCGTCTTTGGAGATGCCAACAACACACACTCTGGCCACCTTGGTGTGCAACAAAGGCAATCAGTACATATACTGCCTAGGGGATCTGACAGCTGGGGGTTTTGCCTGTCTGCTTAGGTGGTCAGCAGCCAGGCTGTGGAGTGTTATATCTATATTGATTACGAGTTTGGGAAATCATCTCCAAATGAACTTTTTCATGCTGGGTATGCTGAAACGTTTCAGGAGTCGTGGTGTTGACAATAAGTTGTTAACTTTTTCTTGGACTTGCAGCAGGAAGTGGCTGGAGGGAACTGCATGGTTTTTCAAATGTAATTCCATCAGCAAACTTGTCTAGAGACAGAACTCAGAAGCTCACCAGCTAATTGTCCTCCCAGTGTCAAGGTATTTTCAAGGAAGGGAAGAAAGGAGCAGGCTGGAGCTGGGGGGGGTCGCCCTTCTGGGCACCTACAGGAGCCACACAATAGGAAAGGGTGATTTGATGAGGGTGGAGGGGATTGACTCATTTCCCAGCTGTGCAATTTGTTCATTGTTGAATGGACAAAACGCAGTTTACTCGGGTTTGCATTATACCTGCCTGGGTGTCCAAATGTAACTAGATGCTTGCCCAAACCCCACCCACAATGCGGCACATGTTTTTAAGTCCTTAGTTTTCTATTCGCATCAGCCTCATAACACCCACCCTTACCTGCTGTGAAAGACCAGGGACAAAGACAAATGATTGCACCTACAGTGAGTATTTTCTTATGACTATTGCCCTCAGATCTTACTGGGCATTTGTACTGCAGTCCAGACATCTGGACTCAATTGATATTCTATTTATTTAAGATTGAAAGAGAAATCTCTGGATTAGTGAATGATTTTTGAGAAGCAATATTCATTTTTTTTTCCTCTTCCTCGCTCTTCATTCTTTTCCCCCTCTATCATATCTGCTGCTCATCTCTATCAGCAGCCTTTTTACATTTGGCAAAATAAAAGGCCAAATGAATGAGGAACATATGGGGACACTTATTTCAAACTTTTAACTTTCAAGCAAGTTCGTTATTATTTTCTTTTGTGGGAACACGATGTGATAAATTCTCTGGTTCTCTGTGGGTGGACTGGACTGTTCCCTAAACCAAAGGAAAATGCACTAGAGGTTCTGTCTGGTGCTAGAACTATAAGTACTGATATTTATCTGACAATATAACTCAGCAAGAAAAAAAAAGGAGATATGAAAAAACCTAAAATCTTAATTGTTAATGCAAGAGGTATACAGGATTGCTGCACTTTCATGTGTTTTACCAGAAGTAACTGTTACAAATAAGGATTTGGCACCTGATGACTAAATTTACTAATGCTATGTGTTGGGATGCCCCACCCCCATCGGGGATGTCCCAAGAGCTGAAGGACCTGAAGACATCCACCATGGTAGGTGCTTAGCTTTCTGCATGATTACAGAGTCCACCAGGAAGGGAGGGGTGGAGAAGCAGGACTCCTGACATGATGTATATTCTATGGCTGGCACATTGCCAGAGTGTGGGGGCCTATGCTGTAAAGTCAGATGGAGGTCTGCTCTTTCGGAAGGGACCATGAAGTGGATCTGTTGAAGTTCCTTCTGCAAAAACTCAAGGGGAAACCTCCAATGACTTCTTTTATAGCTAAGACAAATGAACACTGGGATATAAATTGCTTCTTGCAGCCCCAATACCTTTGGCATTGTAGGGGAGAAGGGCTTCATGCTGTGGTCCTACAGAGAAAATCAAGGAAATGTCCAGTTGAGCTTTTACCTTCTCTTATATTTTATGTCCATTATTTATGATGATTTGCAAATAGTGGGTGCTTTTCATCTTCTACTGTTTTACAAGCATTAACTAAATATTTATACCGTGTTAACAAGAGTCGGAGTTGGAGGGTTTTTTTTTTCCCAATTGCTGGGCTGAAGGGCTGGCCACAAAAATGGAAATCTTAATTAAAATGATGGAGCAAACTTTACCACCAGTGCAGAGCCATTAAGTTCAGAGTTCATGCAGGACAGGCAGGTGGCCAGAAAATAAATGGCTGAGTCTGTTTCTCCAAAAATAATGGCATTGAATGGACCTGTCCCTGTGGGGAGGTTCGAAAAAATGGGGGGGAGCTTAAAAATTATGGCTTCCAGCTTTAGTCAAGAATGCTTTTAATAGGGTGCTTGCCTCACTTCCTGTCAGGGGTTCTTCCAGTGCTACTGGAAGCAGTTGCGTCTGAGAAAGGTGAAGCTGCTCACCTTGGGAGCTTCCTGGAAGAAAGCATGTGTCTGTGACAAGTAGCAACATGGAAAAACTTAAGGCTCACCTTAGCTCCGTTTGACTGCTTGGGGAGAGAGGGGTGACTGGAGTCGGAGGAAGCTTGCCCTTGGCAGGTCAAACCAAGTCAAGCCAAGTACGGGTCCCTTGGCAGGTTTTGCTATAAAATGGATACAGTGACAAGCAAGTCCCTCCAAGAGTTGAAGTCAGAATTCCTGTGCATAAAAAAGGAAAAATTAAAAAGAGGCTCAGGTTTTGAGCCCAATATTCAGTAGAGGAAAGAGACTTTTTGCACCTGTGTGCATCTGACATTGGACTTGCAGCAAGGGGCTCCAGACTGCAGCAGCAGCACTTACGTAGTGTGCAGGGTCAGAAGCAATATCCTAAAGTGTGGCTGCTGGACACACTCTCTACTTTAAAAGAAACCCAAAAGCCTTGGAAGCCAAGTCTCTTTCTGGCTTTCTGCAGCTCCCTTGCTACTCCCAGCAGACCATAGAAACTGGAACCCCTCCTCCCCACAGCCAGACACAAAACCTCCAAGTGTTACTCTAACCTTTGTTTGTCTTTCTGTGTAAAAACTGGCAAAAAAGAAAAAAAAATACCTTCTCTGATAGTGGGTCCCAAGCCACTCCCTCTGGAAGGGCTCCTCTCCCCACCCAGGGATTAGGACTGTTCCATAGGGGGCTCACGAGAAATCAGAAGGAACAGGCATTGCTGGGTTTCCCCACCTCAGTCTCCCAGCATTAGATCATACCCTTTCCGTCCAATCACATCTCTACATGACTGTCCATGCTCCATTGGACCTAAGCATAAAAATCAGAGAGCTCCCCTGGATCTTTGGGTCTTCACTGTGAAGTCTCCTAGTTCAGGTAAAACTTTGATTTTAAAATGTTGTATTTTCTCTTATTTGTCTTTGGGTATAGGAGTGCCTTCCATGACCTTTGTGGTGGGTGCTCCTATGGAAGTAGGAGTCGATTTTATTTCTAAATCTTGATTTTTTTTCTTTTTCCTTTCTTTTCTTTTTTTTTCTGTTTCTGCTTTTTCCTTCTACTTGGGGCTGGATTAATTGCTGATATTCCCCAGCTAAGATTTCTCTCTTTTTCTCTCTCTCTTGCTCTTAAAAGAAAATATAATGATGTATAGTGTTTTGACAAGTTCTTTTTTAACCACAGTAAATTCTTTTTCCTCAGTAGCATGGGCATCATGTCCTGATTAACTTCATACTCTGTTAAATAATGATTGCATATGCTATGTGTGGATTGCCAAATTTTAGCATGTTTGAACTAATGAGCATGTATGGCTTCAAGTCAGTTTTGCTGACAACATAACCTTCAGTCATTCAAAAGTTTTAGCAGGATTTCTGAGAGCCAGAGGTGGTTAATACAGGCATCTTTCATTTTTCATGTAAGTGTTTCAAGCTAGTTTATCCCCGTTAGTTGTAATCAGAATCTCCGAAGCAGGGGTTCGGAGCGGTTTGACGCAAGCCTGTGCGCAGCCTGTGACCCCCAGCTGTCGCTCACACACTCGGTTGCACTTGGGTGCCAGGTGGTTCCGATCAGTGTCAGATTTGGAAACCCGGGAACGCAGGCGTCCGCCTCCCACCCTCACGCGCCTCACAAGGACCCAGGAGGAGCCCTGACCCTGCTTCTGTTTCCTTGGCAGGTAAAGATGCGCATCCGGTCCCTCTCGCATCTCTTCTACCTGGCCCTGTGCTTGCTCACCTTCACCAGCTCCGCCACGGCCGCACCGGAGACGCTCTGCGGGGCTGAGCTGGTGGATGCTCTTCAGTTCGTGTGCGGAGACAGGGGCTTTTATTTCAGTAAGTAGCCTTCTCTCCCCTGTGCTGTTAAAGTCTGAAGTAGAAGGCTCCGTGGATTTACAACCGCAGAGCTTGTGTGAAGAACTGAATGCCTGCCCGTGGCTGGCAGCCACCCTCAGCCTCTGAGATTCCTCACCTTAAAGTAAGCATAGAGTTTCAGCGAGGCTGTGGCAGGTTTTGCAGATTTACGATGGAATTTTCCTCCTTAACAGTTTGTCTTTATTTCTTATGGAGCCTTTTCTCAACTGTTACCATTTTCCCTTGCTCTTCATGCTTTCATTAAAAGATGGGGGCAGAATGACGCTGGAGTGTTGAGTCTGAGAACTCGGTGTGCCCTTCGAAATCTGTGGAACACGTTCAGGGCTGTTTTTAAATGTATGGAATTTGGAGTAAGATGGTAAGAACCTCCCAGTCAGTGAGTGCACCAGGAGTAAGAATAAAGAAGACACATCCCAGGTTTTTGTGTGTCCTATGAAGTCACCACAGACAGCTAGACGGTGAACTTCACTCAAAGGCACCTTTGCATTAAATCTGCAGGTTCTCTCTAAAGGCATGCCAAAATGTCATACTCCTTTCCCCCCTCTGTGCTAATTGCCCTGGATGTTTTTGTTATTGTCGTCCTTTGGCGCGGCTCTTCTCCGGACTCGCCAGGGACATCTCCATCTGGGCTAGGGAATCTGACAAGTGTAACATCACTTATCTCCCCAGCGGGTCTCAGGTGATTAGAAAGTTGACAGTGAAAAGTAGACAGCCAAGCCAAAGCCTGCAAATAACAAAACAATAGCCAGTGATCCCTAAAGGAACCGGCTGCTTAAAGAACCCACCTTGCGTGCAAGTGCTTTACCATCTAGAATAATTCAGTGGAAGAGTTAAAGCCAGTTGCTCGTTCTGTATACTTTGGAATTGTAAAGGGTTCCAGGAAACGGAGCATGAATCATCTTTAAAGGTTCATATCGCTCAAGTGTAGACAGCTTACCTCAGCTACCCACTAAGCTTTCAATAGCGCCTGTGATGACTCACACACTTGAAGTTGCTCTCGTTTTCCCAAATATGAACCCTTCTGTAGGCAGGTGTGTGTGTGTGTGTGTGTGTGTGTGTGTGTGTGTGTGTGTGTGTGTGTGTGTGCTGGGGATAGAGTGTGCACACCAGTCTGGAGGTCAGTAGGGGGGATGTGAAGGAAGAAGCTGGTAACTGGCCTGATGGTCTGTGCTGGCCTTGGATTTGGCAACAGTGTTTAAATGACTAGTGACAGGCAGCCAGAAGTGCTTTCTGCCATTTAAATGAGCAGTTCTCACTCTCCACTCTGAGCCAGTGCTTTAATTAAATGAATTCATTTATTTTCTGGCAATATAGCAATTCTATCCAGTTCTGTCTAGCAGGGCAGATGAATGAGTTCATTGGGTGGGTGCTTTTCCAATGGCATATTAGCTTTACTTTTTAAAAATCCTATGGAAGGTAAATGTGTGACATCAACCTGACCCAACAGAGATGTGTAACTGCTCTATAATTTGCTGCGACTGTTCGGCATTTTGTTAATGAGTAAGTGGCCCTCGCTTATTATTCACTAAGGGATTTTTTTTTGCACTGACAATCTGTAAGATTTCTTCTCTTATCTAGTTCAATAGGTAATTGCCAAGCCCACAAGAGTTCCCTGTTACATGCCAGGTTGACCCCTGAGGCTCAGCATGACATGCTCCAGGATTTGCATGGAAGTTAGATTCCGTGCCAGTAATGTTTGCATTAGATGATGAAAAGTAAGAATGGAAAGAATGTCTTGGTTTTAAGTAATGCTATGATCCTTGTGTATGCTCACACAAACATTTGAGACTATTGGACAACTGTCACAGAAAGCAGTTCCAAGGCACTGAAAGGGTTCTTTTACTCTGGTCACCGCAACAAATGCCAGCAAATATTTTTAGTTTTATGTTAATAACTTGAAAGGAAAATGTATATATAGCCATTCGATGTTTAGAGTATGCCTTTGGATGGAAAGTGGTTTTGTAAATCATGTGTTATTGTCATGAAGAGGATATGTTTCAGATGTTGTGCCTTACAAGAGTTCCTTGATTTATGTCACTACCCTGCCTGACGTAGACGCTCATGAGCAAAGCTCTTCTTGTTAGCTTTGTAATAGACTGGAAAATCCTCCTTATCCAGAAATTCACCATTTAAATCATTCTAATTTAAATGAAAACATCAATGACACATCTGCTACACATAAGAAAATATCCTAGATGCTTAGAAACCAAAGACAGGTTGACCTAAACTTCAAGGAACCTCACAGTCTGGTTGGGAGGGCAAAATAATGCACGTAAATATTACCAAATGTCATGAGAAAAATACTCTTGGGAGAATAGGTGGTGTACTCTGTGCTTTCTCTGAATATTCTTTTCCATTTGTAACTTCACCTTACCGAGTTCTACCCTCACATGAATGACACCTCCTCAATGGACTCTTTCATGCCAAAGACCATATTTTTTTTAAATACTTTTGAATACCAGTATCTAGTTCAATGCCTGGCTCACAGGGTGGCCATGCATATTTGATTATTAAGCTGCCAGAATTGGACTCAATTTAATATAATGGAATTATACTCCTTTTTTTTTGGATTTTTGCCATATGAACCATCAAGAATTAGGGTTATCAAGTACTTTCATGTTTGCCCAAGTATTTGATAAAATGATCCTGTTTTTTTTTAACTGAATATAGCACATACTAACTGACTTAGAGGCTGTAACTACATTGATGGTCTGTTTGTGTCTGAGCCAATCATTATTACTGTTGTCAACAAATTGTATTGCGTTTCCTTTTGTCCCTTGAGATTTACAATGTGTAGAGAAGTCAGCTCTTGGCACTTGGAGTCTTTGAAATACTCTTTTTGAAGAAAGCATTCTTCCCCACTTTCGTTGCCTGTTTGGTGACACATTTTTTTAGCTTTGTTTTCAAATATTTGTGGTAGCTATGCCTTCTATTGTAAGCTGCTTCAACTCTTTCAGAAGTATGGATATTTCTTAACAATAGGAAATGCTTTCTGATCCTGGTTTGAATTTTCAACTCCTCAAAGAAAATTGCTTCCCTCTGAATTTTTAGTCAATCCAGAATTCTCAAAAAGGAGAGTTTTCCAATGCCACTAGAAATATTCTAAGTCAATATTTTGTTCCTGACTCCTATTTTGACAAGATTGACAGTGCTGAGGGTGAGCTCATTCTGTTCAAGCTCAAGTTCCAGCAGAGCACAGGGGAGCAACGTGCTGCATGGTTGTGCTCTGTGCATCTTCCCAGCATTCGTGGAGCAGTTCATCTAGAATAGATGCAGCTTCCCCTCACATTTTTGTGAAATTAAATATCCTATGTAGAGCTAATTAATGCTTCTTCTTTGAGTTTCTGAGCAAGAGAGCCTCTCAACCAGCCTGGTACTGTCCTAGTCCTGGGGGGGGGGCGGTTTGGGGGGGGCAAAAAATGGTGATTTAATAGAGGTGAAAGTACATTGAAAAAGAGCTTGCTGTTATCTCATGCGATGCATGGAGCCCTTGCAGGGCTGGCTCCCTCTGACTTTGTTTTGCATGAAACACAACATGAAGCAAAATGAAACAGGAGAAGTTAAGCTTGTCATGGACATGAATTTTGACAGCCATAGCGATTAACCATTTTGACAAGCTGTTTAGGGGCTTGTAGAATTTCTCTCCTTGGAGATACTTGAAAAAAATGATGGACAACCAGCCTTCTTGGATGGTTTCAATTAGGAGCAACCAAAGGAAAGAGAATTTCTGGGGTCTTTTTTAGTTTTAAGAGTCTATAAACAATCCCTTCAATAAACTGTATATGCTTGACCTCAGTGGTCTAGGAAAAAGGAGAAGTAAATCAATTAGGAAGGAAACTTGGATATCCCTCTAGCTACTCCAGATTTATAGATTTTGTAAAACATACTTCCAATGTGTAGTTATTAAGAACACATTTGAATAAAAGAATGGTGCTCTTCCTGTGTTAAAGTATATTGTTTTTATAAAGAGTTTAAAATGCAGTAACTTTTCTAGTTTGAGATTGTTATTACTAACTCAAGCTTCTGTCCTTCAACTGCTCCCAGATTTGTCATTCATTAGCTGTATGACTTCTTGGCAGGTATTTACACTTCCTGGGTCAAAATGTCTTTGTGAAGCAAGGGAATTTTGTCAAAGTAAATGATCTCTTTTAACTTTAACAAACCAAAAGTCTAGGTGACAATTAACAAGGATTTGTTTCTTTTCAAGAAAGAGGAACCTTGGATGTAAGCCGGGACCAAAGAACATTTAGGCTCCATTATCTTCTGTACATAGTTTGTGTTGGTCCCCAAAGATAGGAGATTCCACCCACTTAAAGAAAGAGCAGGCAGCGGCTTTGTTTTATTTTGCTTTAAGTGGGATTTAATCCTTCAAAGATACAATAGAAACTTGGAAATAATGAAATGCATGCAGGTCTGCTGACCAAAGGAGTGTGCCACAAGGAAACGACACTACCAGGTTTTGTTGTTGTTGTTGTTGTTGAACTTTCTTGGTAGGGAAGACAGTAAGTTCATCTTATAGCTTCCCTTTATTCAATTAGAACAGGAAGGTACAAACCTCTTGGGTTTTTTTAAACCTATTGGTTCTTAAACCTATTCTACTTAAAGAAGGATGTGTGATTTTAGGCACCCAAAGACACCTTCATCCACAAAGAGCATTGTTTTGAATAGGACTGAATTTGACTGGTAACAATTACATTCCTTTTCTTGATATTTGTTAACTGCCAGTCATTCATTTATATAGTTGTTGTTTAAAGTTAGGAATATAATTACAGCATGATAAAGCACTTTGGAACTAACTGGCACATGTAGAGTTTGCCCTTATGATCTTGGTCTTTCAGTGCCATAAAGCTAAGAATGCAGAGACATCATTCAAGGAAGCTATTCTTACCATTGATCTTTAAATGTGGCCAGGAGGATTAGTATATGCAACCAAGGGGCCACTAAGGAAGTAATGGTTTCTG